AATCAAACTCAAGTCCTTAGCTTTGTAAATGACAGATTCATCACTGACATATGCCGATCCGACGCCAACGGATGGATTGCGACTGTACCCGAAACCCCCAGACCCAAATGGCTGCGGCGAACCAGGATCTCCACCTCCCGGCGAGCTAGGACCTGTACTTCCCGGCGACCCTCTTCCTCCTCTACGTTTGCTTGTGGAAGATGATGATGATGAGTCCGACGGCGGTCCTGGATCAGGCGGGACAGCTGATGGTGTGGACATCGAAAACACTTGCGGAAATGTCGAACGCGGACCAAAACCCTTGGACGCTGGTGACCTAGCAGCAGTGTCAACAGGTGGGTACCCAGCACAAGCCGATTGCCCTTCCTTCGTAGTGGGGTGATCCATGGGGAGATCCATGGGGAGAGCCAGATGCAATGTTCTGCAACCGCTTCACTTCCTCTTTGAGGGACCCCATTACCTTCAACAATTCCTGCGCATCAACCGCGCCATTATGGATATAGGACTGAGGAGTTTGAGGAACTGCTGAATGTTGCAACAGAGTGAGTTCATTCTGCAACATGGCAACTTGGCTAGCTAAGGCTACTTGGTCTTTCTTCTGTGTTTCCAACAATTTTGCTTGTCTGTCAATCATTTCCAGGAGTTGTCGATTACGATCTTCTGACACAGAGAGTTGCTGTTGCGCTTCAGCATAAGCTCTTTGAGCGATGTCCTGCAACTTCTCTACTTCCTCTTTGTGGGTTCTTTGCATTTCATCCACAAGACGGCTAGCTTGGGATTCCACGGATTGCACATGAGCATGCGCTTCTAGAACCCTGGATTGAGCTTCACCCTGAACAACCTGAACCTGTTCTTGCAATGCACGAACTTCGGACTCTGCGTGTGACATGATCACTTGGGTCTCGGTACGGGCAGCACTTACTGCGGCATGAGCTTGGGACATGAGTTCACTCTCACGGGCTATCACCTGGTCTGCTGGCACCCCCATGTTCATTTGCAATGTCCTTTGGTCATGCAAGTACACAGCGGTGTTGCTTTGATCTTGAGCATGGGTTACTGACCTTTGGTCATGTAGGTGCATGGAACCAGGACCCCTGTGCGAAACCTCACGACCGGCTCTGCCCGCTGGTGGTCTTGCCGACGAGCTCCTACTGCTACTCTGAGAACTGGCTTCCCTAGACCCTTTGGTGTTCGTCTTAATCACCTGGAGAGCCCTGTGTGGCGGGGGTTGTTCCGGGCTAGTTGATGACACCAACATGGACTGTGAGGTCGACTCATCTTGAGGTTCTGGTGACATCATATCGAATGAATCTCTAATTTCTGAAATTTGTGGCATGGTATCAAATGAGAACACAATGCAAAAAAAGAATGCCTACCAATCAACAAAGCTTTGCAATGGATTGGGGTTCACCCAAATGACACTGAAGTTGCACAAATGCAAACACTCAGCACCGGCCCTGAACACAGCAAACTTTCACCCCTCAGTGCAAGTTCTGCTATATTACAAGCGACTTTGCGCTAATGCCAGCGACGAGTGGCCACGATGTTATCCACAATCTCTCTCACGTTCCGGCAGTACTTGACCCCTGCAATCTGCCGCTTGCGAGGCACGACAAGCCCAACAATGTCCAAACCGCAATAGGGGTGAGATTCGATGTGGTTCTGAATCTCACTCAACACCTCTGGCGAATCGTCCACGTGAGCCAGGTACACTCCAGGCCCTTGTAACGACAGCAAGAGCTGTAGCTTTCCCTTTGGCCCGTCTGGCTTCCTTGTGATGTACACACCAGAAAACTCAGCTTGAGGCAATGTATGCCTGAGCACGTTTTGCACAGTGTCCGGATTGTGACAATAGCTCACAACGACCTGACAGATCTGATCAGATTGCAAATCTGCAACAGCTGAACGGACCTCTTGTGGCAACCACCCTTGCTGGCAATGAACTTTTCGTGTATTGCTGTAGCGAAAACAGTCCAATACCTGGTGGAAGTCCCAGCTCAGAATCAACTTGGTATTCGCAGGAATGGGACGCCGACCCAAATGATGCCGTGCCTCAAGTTGCCCGAGTCTCTCCGGTGTCAGGTCGCTGCACTGTCAAGTCCACCTGAGGAGGTCGCTGTGTTGGAGGATTGGCCTTTGGCGGTGTGGGCGAAGCGGTCGATGGGGCTGCCAATGAAGCTGTCGGTGAAGCAAACTGTTGCCGCAACAATGCATTGTTCCTTGTCACTGAAACTCCTGCCAATGTACTCGCCCTGGACGCCGTCAAGCGAACAAGAAGAGGAGGCGGTGTTTGAGCTTCAGCTTCCGTTTCGGATTCAGAACGACTCACCGGCAAGCTAACAGTCTCCTGCACACTCTCTGACTCTATTGACAAACGATCGGCTTCTTCTCGGATATCCGGTTGTTCTGCCACCCAAGATCGAAGATTCGGCAACACAATGTGCTTGCTCTCCGGAAACGTATCCTCTCGGCTCAAATAATTCAACCGCTCTTGCACCTGCCGATAGCGTAGATCCCACTGTCGACGCTCAGATGCTACTGCAAAAGCCAGCTGACGAATAATCCGAAGCACACGTTCCAAGAGAATTTCAAGCAACTGTCGATGTATCGCCCTTGTACGACGACGCGCTGCTCTCCCACCCCTGTTGGAAGCTCGATTGCGACGATGAGCTTCAAGCACTGCCCTCTGTCTTCTCTCAAGAGGGCTCCTCGACCTTTGTCTCGGAGGAGGAGGAGGCGGAGGCACCCGACGCATGCACGAGGTGCGGCGAGCAAATGACAACTAGTGTTGCAAACACTCTTGATCCCAAAGGTGCAGTTGGTCACGAGTTTCAATTTTGTTCTCAGGATCTCTCCACTCAATTGCTTTGCAAGAAAGATGAGGATCGGGCAAAATGCCTGACTGAGACTCTTACTTAGATGGAAACGGTATCACAGGTGGAGCCGAGAATCCTCTAAAAAAGGATGGAAACTTGGTTCCTATTTGAGGCCTTTGTGATTATGGAGGTCGGATACTATCCTCTTTGGTACCGGAGTTGCACCGTATGCAAAACACCCGGCCCTGAAGACACGAAGACCCTCTGTCCTTGACAACAGCGGTCTGAGATGCAGCTCGCACAAAGGTTTTGGCCTGAGACGAGATGCAAGGTCACTAACACCAATTGGCACGGGCAATCAACACGATATATGCTCTGGCACAAAAGGGAGTTAGGCGAGGTTGGAATTGTCCGAGCTGGCTCAAGGCAGGAACAAAACCTATATGGAAAGATGCACTATGAGGCTGTTAACCAGTTGTTTAGAGGGCACAGCTTCCAAACCCCCTAAACAAGACAACTGCGCGACGAAACGACACGCACCGTTTTCCTTCAGTCTTGAGCCAAAGCAAGTCGGGAAACCCAAAATGAGCATCACTGACATGACAGGTCACATGGAATGCATGGTCGTCTCTGAATGCCTTTGGGATGACTGTATTCTCTCAACTTATATCATACAATTTAGTAATTGGTAATTTGAGCGCTCACGCGAAAATGCTGACACCGGAAATCAGCTGCTGGTGCTTGGAGTTGTGGTGGGCCTACAAAGCTTCATCATGGTATTGCGGTACAGTCGCATCAAAAATATAACCGATGTTAGAGGCCATCGCTACTAGGGTGGAGGCCCTCGCTTGTAGGTGGAGGCCATCAAACAAGAGAGTAGCATGCTGCGCGGTCCATTGAACGAGAAAGCCCTAAGATAGGAAAAGGTTGTTTCCTGCCAGCTAGTTGAATCTCTTGCTGTTGATGTTCGCAACAGTTCTTGGAAACTCAAATTAGCAACGGTTGAGAGAAGAAAAGGCCGAGCGAAAGAACAGCTGCGCCGACTCACTGGCCTCTCGCTCACGGACAACATAGGCAACAATAGCAGGAGGGATCCAGGAGAAAGCAATAATGATCACCTTGCAACGACTTTCCAAAAAGTTGTTTAAAGCCCGTTCCCCGTCCACACTTAATTAAGTAGGCGCCTACTTAACTAAGAAAGGGAGAGGTAGCTAGTAACTTACTAGTACGCTACTAGCATGGACGCAGGATAGCTCACGCTATTCATTTGGTTCCTAGATTTTAGGAAAACTTAAGTTCCAATATGATTACAGGAAAACGAAACAAAACGAGATACAGAATTCCAACAACCCTCACCCCCCTGTTCTTTGAACCTCGCATCTGGGGAAGTTCAAAAGGAGCTCGGCTTTTAGTACGCCTGAGCTCCCGGTTATAAAGTTCGAGGCAAAGAGCTTTCAAAACATCTGACCACTGGATGGCCTTGAGCCCCCAGTGTTCCAGACCATTCCCGGACGAAGTCTTGTGCAGGTGGACTCAGGAAAGCTTTTACTTGGGAAAAGGATTTAGAAAAAATACATGAAAATAACAACTTAGCAAGCGTTGGTAAAATATCGAAGGTGTCTCGCTTTCATGCAGAACCAAAGAGTTTGCCTCTCCGAAAGTCACCAAACAACGTTCTTTAAGTTGCTGCTGTCTGGTCACTTGCAAGGTTCAACTACAGTAACTACAGTAACAGTTAACAATGATCAATGATCTACTGTAAGCTTTTTGTTTGGAGGCAAATACAAAAAACAGCTTTTGAAAGTCGTCCAAGTCGGATGCAATAGTGCTGAAGTCGACAGGCTTCACGCAACTATCGTGGTTTCCTGTTCAGCATGGCATTCCTGAGAAAATGTTTAAACTGAAGAGAACCTTGCTCCTTGTGGGCAAAATTGTGTCTGCACCCCTGGCCCACAGCGGCTAAGCAAGTCAACAAGGGTGCAAATATTCTGGACTGCCGAACCAGCTGTCAATCAACATGCTGGCTCGGTGAACCTTTTGAATTCTGTGCAGGCTGGCAGTTTTGTTCAACTTGCTAGTAACAGAAACCTATTAATTAAAAGAATGTCTCTCTCTTGTGTCTGTCTTCTCCCACCAACATTTTGACAACTGCTCGTTCTGTGCAACTTGTGCACCTGATCTTATCGACAATTGTCAAGCCAGGCTGCCATTGCCTAGATTCGATTTGATGAACCCGCGGTGAACGGATTCGATGAAGTCAAGAATCAAGAAACATAGGAGCATTGAATCCCTACCGACCTTGCTTGGGTCTCTACTTGAAATGAGCAGCCTCTTTGAGGCGCAGCCAAATCTGTACCAACTGTGCCCCTGCATCAGAACGGTGCTTCAGACCTGGCACAATTTGAAAGGGGGGCAAGCTCTTTGTCCTTTGGGAGAATGTTAACATTTATCATTTTTCCAGGTCTTTTCTTGTCTTCTTGTTACTACTAGGAACAAGAAGCTACTAGGGGCTCCTGGCATCGCTACTAGGAGCAAGAACGCTACTAGGGGCTCCTGGCCTTACTACTAGGAACAAGAAGCTACTAGTAGCTGTTTGTAGACCTTTTGACGTGTTTAAATCTGACGTTTCTGAGTGTCTCTGTTCTTTCTTCCTTTCTCATTGCCCTTCTGGGACTGAGATGTCAACACTACTATAGGTGCTCTTCCATGCGGTAATCTGGTGGAGTACACAGCCCTGAGTGACACCAACAGCGAGCCTCTCGTATATCAGATGTGTCCCTGACTGTCCATAACGGTGGAGAAAACCCTCCTGATGTGCGATTAAGAAATGAATGTTGGCTCCATGCACATTCCACTGAAAAGTACAATTGTTTTACAAATATCATGCAAAAACGACGCTAATGTCAAATGGAAGCAGCCTTCTAAAGCAGATGGTGGCAATGAATCGAAACGCTTGGCATCCCTTTGGCTATGCATCTACTTTCCTGTGCATCAGCTGTGGGTTAGCCAGATTTCTCTCAAGATGGCAAACGACGCCGAACCCAGACAGAAACGGTCCTGATCCAATGACAACTCCTTAGCAAGACTTTGGAAACCAAACATGTGTCCGAAACATGAAATGAGATAACATACAACAGGCAATGAAATGAAAGTATCTTCTCATCCTCACCTTCTCCTCCACTAAGATCTTGAACGCGGCACAACTAGGTAACTAGGCAAAAGATGGAAAAAGAGTGACATCCCTTAGACCAAAAATAAAAGCCCTCGCCATTCTGTCAGGCTTCTCCACCTGCCATATATACAGAGTCGCCTTCAATGCGGATCTCGAGAACATCCTCCTCCAAAAGCAGGAGGGTGTTTGGCCGGTTAATCATTCTTGGGTTGGGGAGTTGCAATTGAAAGGCCTAGTGAATTCAACAGCTTTAAAATGATCTGCAAGGGTGAATCACAGATAAACTGAACTATGTATATATAGTTTTACTACGATTGCTCCGGTCATGTGACCAATTAGCAAGGTCTGGCTGGACATGGTCTGTTTCTCTTGCCATGCTCCACTACTTTCTAGAAAGAGCGTGTTTTCTTCTGCTGCCAAGCTACCTGCGATTCCGCTTCGTAGCCTTTCACCAGGAAAGCTTGCAGCCACGGTGCAGTCTGCGCTGGGCCTTAATGGATAAAAACACAGACGGAACTTGGAATGACAATTGAAAGAAACAAAAAATAATGCATTGAAAAGAATTGCACAAAGAAGTTCCGACAAATGAAGATTGAAGGAAAAACTTCAGGCACACGGAGAACACAACAAACGTTCAGCCTTTCAAGGACAGGCGAGGTAACCATTCCGTGTTTCTTTACAAATCCACTTCTTCAACCTTCCCTTTTAGGCATGCAACCTAAAAGTAGGTCTCTTTCCAACAACAGAGTTAGCTTGTGCTTGGGAAAAAGAGACGACTTTCCGCAGAGCATTCCCCCAAGGCACAATAGCAATACCTCAAAAAAGGTGACGACATTGTCTTTTGCCTGTATATAACGAGCTCCGACATAGAGCATCTACAGAAAGCACTAGTGAGGTGAACAACGCTGCTCCTAGAAAAGCTTCTACCTGTTCCACGCCCTGCTCAAATGACTTGAAAATTAACACCCAAGCTTAGACCGTGAATGCAATACTGTGTGTCCTTTCTCTCTTGTCAAGAGAAGCACAAACCTCTTTTTTAATTGTACCTCAAGTCTCTCGCTCGAAGCTCTTGAGCCACCTTCTTACTACTTCCACGCTCTTGCATATAGGCCACCTGTATGCAAAGCCCAAGAACCCTGGATGCGATGTAAAAGTGCCTGGCACAGGTGTGAGACAAGCACAGGTAGATACAAGTACCACAAGTAGCTGCATGCTACAACAGCCAGTGCTTTCCAACCTTCACAATGCGCCGAGTAAGATGACCCGCGACGGAAGATCTTGATGGAGCAGCTTTGACCGCTCACAGCTGTCACAGCTTTAACCGTTGTCCGACTGTTTGGCAGTCCAATTGTTCGCCTCTGCCATCGGCGAGTCTGATTCAAAGGATGCCTCCCAGACAAGCGCTGGCAGTCAAAAAGATTAAGAACTGACCTCACAGTTGTGCCTCACTTGGAACAAAGCAAGCATACGTTTGAGGGGAGTGCGGAAGCTCAGAGAAAACTCAATCCGCAGCTCATGCCAAAGGCTGTTGAATGCTTGCCGGCATACTTTCAGTGCCTCGCGGGTGTCCACAAAATCATTGGGATCTCCTGGCTCAACTCCAAAACCCATTGAAGAATCAGTTGCTCAACTCAAAAAACCGTGTGACCCTGTCAGAATCTTCACACACTTCGATTGAACAAATTTGTTTGGCCATTTGAGTCACGCACCTCCGCTGGTCAGGCGTTTCCGGCCCCTAGATGGAACAACGCTTGGCAAGCGAGGTGGCCGTGCACAGCGCCTGGGACAAGCAGGAACCTACTAGCAATGGCCTCCAACCTAAGAGCGGTGGCCTCCAACCTAGAAGCAATGGCCCCCAACCGTTCCAACCTAAGAGCGATGGCCTCCAACATAGAAGCAAAGGCCTCCAACCTAAGAGCGGTGGCCTCCAACGCAATAGCCTCCAACCTAAGAGCGGTGGCCTCCAACCTAGAAGCAATGGCCTCCAACCTAAGAGCGATGGCC